AAAGTAAAAAAAAAGTCCGAGAAGAATTTGTGGGTTTTGTGGAGCTGACAGCACAGGATGCCCCAGCAATTGCCAATGCAATAGACAATTTTTTAGTTAGCTATAATTTTTCACCGCATAGTTGTGTAGGACTTGGTTTTGATGGCTGCGCTACGATGGCGGGCAAAGAGGGTGGCGTACAAGCGATTTTAAGGAAAAAGTACACACGAGCATTATTTTTTCATTGCTCAAACCATAAAATAAATCTTGTTGTCAATGATGCAAATAATGTTCCGGAAATTAGAAACACTATTGGCACCGTAAAGGATGTTATAACCTTTTTCAGGGAATCCACCACTCGCAGAAGTTCCGCTCCTAATCTATCACGACTGTGTGAGACTAGATGGTCTGAAAAATACAAAAGTATTCGCTTATTTGCACAAAATTTCCTCGAAATTGTGAAATCACTTGAAAAACTATCTATCGAAGGAAACTACGCCACGAGAAAATCTGCGTACCAGTTGCATGCCGCCGTTACCAAACCCTCACTAATTGCTGCCCTAACTATAATTGCAAAATATTCAGCTTTACTGGAGCCGGTTGTTAATGCCTTGCAAGCAAAAACTATGGATTTAATTAAGTTGCAAGAACATCTGAACGTAATCCTTAACGTTCTGAAGAAAAACCGTGAAGATGCCGACCTAGTTATTGATGAAGTACTTAAAAAAGCACAAGACTGTAGAACGATCCTTCAGTACTCTTCGAAGAGTGAAGACTTGGTTGAGAAGTACCATGGGAGAGGAAAGGTTAACAGGATTATGTCTCATGAGTGTGCATCGTGATTTAATTAAATCAAATCGAGAGCAATTTGAAAATCAAGTTTTAAATAAATTTGCGACAAATCCAAGAAAATTGTTATTGAAGTAAAAATTAAGCGAGTTATGTCAAAATTTAGTAATTAAAAAGAGAAATGCAAAATCCATTGTTTTTTTTTTTTGGTCAGCCCCCCCCCCCCCCTATTTCAGATCCTGGGTACGCCCTTGCTTTGAACCCACGATTTCAATAGGTACATTTTCTGACGTAGCGTCACGTATACACCGGATATGGTTACAATTACAAAAACGTCGCCGTGCCGCGACATAAGAATCATTCGATTTTAAAAACGCCTCAACCATGAACGCGCGTTGCTCGTTCGACCACTGCCCCATGTTCACTGATAATCCGCACGCAGTCGCCGCATATTGCCAGCGCTAAACTCCCCACAAATATTAAATTGGATGTACAGGGCGCGTTCGAAAAGAGAAATTTACTCTGAGTCACCCTGTATATCTCATGCTTTGACATCCTTTTGTAAATTGTCGATATTTTCTACACCTAAAACAAACAGAATCTTTAGCTGGACATGGACTAACGTAGATGTTTTTTCACTAGATCCGCAAAAATGATGGATGAAAACGATTGGATGTGTGTGAAGTAGGAATAAAGGGTATACCTGAGGGCCGGTTTCTGAATAGCAAGTCACCTCTGGGTTAGTTTTAACTCCAGGGTACACGTGTCCAGTTGCTATGTTTACCTTGGAGTTACGCTTAACCCGGGGGTGACTCGCTATTGACACATTGAGAAACCTGCCCTAAGCTAAAGCTTCTGAATGCTTCTGCGCAAAATCCAGTGAATAAGAATTATTCACTGCTATGTTAACAGTTTTTTCTCTAATGTGCATATAAGTTAGTCCAGGAATAAAAGAATCTCTTGAGTAAATACTACTCATCCGATTTTGAACTGAAGGAACATCAATTTTGATCCGTTTTTCAACATCGAAATTCTCCACTTTTTTTAATGGAACGCCCTATATATCACAACGTCAAAAAAAAAGTCATGTTGAAAGTATGTATCAGTAAGCATCATCCTTGATAAGTTTTAGCCGGAAAAAATTAAAATCGAAATGCTGGTATTTTCGCAAATACATGCAACTTCATGTTGTGGGTAGCTAGGTATAGTCTGTCGATTTTAATCTGATACGCCAAAGGAATGTGAGCTGGTGGCTTCCTACGTTAGAACGCCAATAATGGTTACCTGACGTTACACCTGTTTCTGCCATATGAAACACCCCCTCGCTCCTCATACCGAAAGTATCAGATTAAAAACGACGGACTTTACTTGCTATTACAATGGCAAACAATAAACAATTTTATCACTGTCAATTTAGATATCAACTAGGTTGAAACCAATACATTTTATAAAAGAATTTAACGAGTTTCAGTGAGAATAGGATACCCTAGAAGTAACAGTTTGGTGTGCAATCTCTCTGTTGAAATAAAATGCGTAGGTACCTACCATTTTTCATTAATGAACCAACGATAACAGGATCTTTATACATACACTACTGATATGTGAGAAAATTTCTTTCATCCACAATTAAGACGGGAGGGTATCTTGGACGATATAAAGACATGACATTTGGGAAAGGATAGATAGGGAGAGCTGTTCCTGTAGATGAACACCTGACTCTCCTGACTTGACAATTCCAGATTTTTTTCTCTGGAATTATGTCAAGGAGAGATCCTGGAATCCTTTGTCAAATAGCCTGGAAGATCTTGAAAGGAACATTCGTAATGTCATTGAAGCAATTCCCCAGGAAATGTTACACAATTCAATCAACTGATCCATGAATGGGTGGCAAATATACAGGGTGAAAAATTAAAAAGGATCCACCTGGATTCTTTCGAAAATTATCAGGAAGTTTAAAAAAATGCCGAAACACGTCGATTTTGTTTGCAAGGGTGACACTTTTTGGCTATTCCAAAATTTTTCTAGACTGCACCCCCTTGCCGGGGTGAGTTGTACCCTCAAAACTTGAATAGGGAAACTGGGTCGAGTGTCGAGTGGTACCTTGTTTGAGAGGTATTTGAGATGACTTTACAGGTCTGTAATTTATTTCGAAATCTGAGTACCTACTAATTTTCAAGATATTCGCTTCGGAAGTTGCCATGGGGCGAAAAGAGAATGTGTCTTTCGTACATTTCTACAAGAAAAAAATTGAAATTCCTGAAACACGTCAATTTTGTTTATTTTGAATCTTTGTTAGTTTGAACCTTTTCAACAACCTTTCAAAGATGACCCACTTTTCATTTTTCCACGAAAAACACGTTCTCTTTCCGCCCCATGGCAACTTCCGAGGCGAATATCTTGAAAACTAGAAGTCAGATTTCGAAAAAAATGACAGATCTGTAAAGTCATCTCAAATACCTCTCAAACAAGGTACCTACCACTCGACCCAGTTTCCCTATTCAACTTTTGAGGGTGCAACTCACCCCGGTAAGGGGGTGCAATCTAGGAAAATTTTGTGTGTGTCCCTTGCAAACAAAATCGACGTGTTTCGGCATTTTTTTAATTTCCTGATAATTTTCCAGAAAATCCAGGTGGATCCTTTTCAATTTTCCACCCTGTATACAGCTTTTTTATAGTTTTATGTTTCCTGCTTCAACTTTTTACTAGGCAAACAGAATTTCCAAGCTTTGTATGCTAATGAAAAATACCAGAATTTCGATTTTTTACGGCTAAAACTTTAAATTCAAAGGACGATGTTTATTGGTACATGGATACCTTGAACATAACTCTTTCTTTTTTGACGTTGTACAGGATGTACAGGGTGTTCCATTAAAAATAGAGCAAAAAACTACTAAAAAACACGTTAGGTCAAGAGAAATCGAATGGCGCACACCGCTTAGGTACCTGGTTTGAAAGTTATAAGCATTTAAAATGGGTCACTCTCGGCTGGGACACCCTGTATTTCATTTTTCATAAATTTATGAAGGCATCAGATTCAAGACTCTGCATGCATTTCTTCGAGTCTGCAATAAATACAAAGTTTAAATATCTCATCCTCCCTTAATCCTTCAACAGACGAAATAAAATTTTCAAATGTACTTTTCCATCAGTAGGTAGGTATGTCAATTCTTGGGCAGCGGTAGGAGAATTCTGATCTGCATCAAAAAGATCAGGCCTTTGTTATTAATTTGTAATAAATATGCGTATTACTTCCTACATTGGATTACCTGTTAAATTTGCCTTAAAACTCTAAAATCTCAAGATCAAACTGACTCAACATCAACGATAGTATTATAGTCTATAGAACCCTCTTTCCAGAGTTTCCAGTCTTTCTTCTTCAAGGCATCTGACAGTAAATTATAACTTTATACTTGTGGTGAAGCTTCAGAAGTGATTGGCTCCACTCAGAAGGTTAAGATTTTTGAATCTGGTAGAAGTAATGTCTGGAGTGCCTTTTAGAGAGAGATTCAAAGCTTCGAGTATTCGCTCCTATGGTAATGAACTTCCTAAACTGTAAACTGTTGACAATCGTCAAAGATATTATCGACTTAAGGTTACCTCAAGACCCAGTGAATACAACTACATAAAGTTAAGGTTGAAATTTATGTAACTACTTTACCTATAATTATGTAATTTTTAAATTTTTTTCAAATCACAATAAGGTAAAATTTGACTCAAATGTAACGCACAATGTCAAGCTAAAGTAGATGTAAAATTTATATCACATTGATGTAAGTAAACCATATTATGCATTTTTTATCCTGAAAAATTTCAAACATCCGACATTGCCTCACAAAATCGCTCATATCTTAATGAATATTTCACAGATTCTGATGCATATTTATATATTCTTGATCAGAATCGAATGCTCTTCAAGATAAAATAAAACTGAATAATTTATCTCAAATAGTTTTGAGATATTAAGCCACAAAGTTGAAACCTTGTCTCAAATTTTGGACTATGCTTAACAGCATCTTTGTCTCTTATCCCTTGAATACAGAAGAAGGGTTTTTGAACTGTACTTGATTGTTCCAATTTTTTCAGTTGAAAAAATTTTAGTAATTCTATTGTTTCTGTATGTATATGTCCATATAACTGCCAATTATTATTGTTATGTTTTCTCTTCATAATTGGGAAATGTTCTATTTTACATAGAAATAAAAACTACAAAATACCTAATTACTTATTTCCAGGTCCAATGGCTCATTTATTCAATAGCGTCCACGAACAAAGCTATGTAGCTTACGTGATAAGCTACGCTATGAGAATTGGGTCATTTAAAGACGAGAGCTTCCATCCAGACAGTTCAGGCTCTAATACAAGTGCCAACATAAGAAGTTGCTGGTCAGCATTATTAATCTTGTTTTGTATTAGAACTATGTTCAACCTTTATATATTTTAGATTTATATTTGAATATTCTTTCAATCACTGCCTAAACAACTGCATCTTGTATGGTAACAATGAATATAAGGAATAAAACAAAAACTTATACAAAAAAACTTTTATTTTATTTCAAATCATAATACACACATGTAACCAATAGCCTATAAAAAAAAAATAGAAACAAAAATCAAGCAGTACCATTAGTGGCAGCTTTAATAATAGTAGCAAGTAAGTCGTCTTCTTGTTGAGGTCCCACCCACCACATACACAAAGCGTTCTCGTAAACCGGAGTACTTCTGGTATGATGCATAGGATCGATGCTGTTGTGATGTTGTCCGCTCGAAGTCGCCAAGATCGGTCTGTAGGGATGCAAACTCACCCCGTTGCAGCTGTCATTATGCAATTGCATCTGTAACATACCCAAGCGTGAACTTTTGATTTGGTTAAAATCGAGGGTCATTTACCCATAGTCGAATCTTTTAAGTGATTTTATGCGGAAATAAATAAATTAATAGTCCTGGATTTAAGTCCTGAAGTGTCACTATTAATGACATGATGACTAAGGCCTGTAAATATTGCTTACGTTATAACAAACAAAAGTGGGAAAACTTTGGTGTAGCTATTCATTGGTGTAGTCACATTTTGATTCACACACAACCAATTAAAGTGCATTATTATTATATTATGTACATACCTGCAAGTGTACTGTAGGGTAATGTTGTTCGGTAACGTCCCAAATTTGTACCTTACCATCCGAACCGCCAGACACCAACCATTTATTATCAGATGACAAGTCAATAGAGATTTTTTGATTGGTGCTACACTCTCTGGGCAAAACAAACATCGGCCTGCCCGGCACCTAAAAACAAACAAAACTTTCAAATAAAATTCCCTCAAAAAGTTTCATAATTTCCTTTAAAAATTGCTTCATAGTTGTCAGGAGTATAATCTTACACGTAAATCCCAACAGATGAGATCTTTGTCCTTCCTAGCGCCGCTGTACAGTCTGGAACCGTCCAATGAAAATGCCATCGAAGTAATACCGCCTTTATGCCCTTTGAGCTTACACAAATTCCTCAAAGTACCGTCAGTTTGTGAGACTAATTCAATAACTCCTTTAACAGTTCCAATGGCCACTACTCCAGGTTGGGCTTTGCTAGCGACGATAGTGGACACCTGATGAGTGATGGGGATTTCCGTATATTCACGTCCGGGACGTCCAGTGTCGAATATCTTGACGTTTTTCTTGTAGCCGCTAAATATGTTTTGACCGTCGGCAGAAAAGGTGACGCACATGGCAGATTCTAGTTCGTCTACTGCGTTGTAGCCTCTGTAGGAGCATCTTAGGTCGCCTGTGAAAGCGTCCCAGAGGTGAATAGGACCTTCGTGACCACTTGACAGCCAGCTGATGAGGAAAAAAAAAATGTTTTATTAGTAAAATTATGTGTTAGGCCTTTTGGTTATGAAGGCAAGAGAATATTTATTCATTTATCAATGAGCAATTATTGCCCAATTAAAAGACGATAGTACGGGATTTTGGCTGGGATATAAAAACTTTTTGATTATCAAAACAGTCCAACTTGTCAGAATACTGATTAAAGAATCTTGCTATTAGACACTTAACAATATCATTATATATATAATATAAGAAATAAGAAATAGTAATGGCTCCAATTTACTTCCCTATGGTACGCCATTATTGTTTAAAATTTCTGGAGAAGTGTTCTTGTTTATGTATGTGTTCTGTTCCTTATTCTGAAACCGCTCCAGAGCTACACCCTTTATACCATATTTTTGCAATTTTTGCACTAAGCTACACCTGTTGTCTCGAATATTAGTCTCAGTTCACTGGCAGTTTTCACATAGCGAACTTTAGGTATTGGATTAACCGTTGAAATTATTAAGGGTGATGGAATGGTGCCTGTTTCCAGTGAATAGTTAATTAAACTTAGCAGAGGGAATTCAATACTTGCATATATCATTTTTATGAAGTCCGCTGATAGCTCGTCAGGATTACCTTTACATGGTAATTGAAAAACAATTTCCTTCAGTTGATTGGTCGTTATTGGCATAAACCGTGCTAAACCTCCTGGCGGTGTTTGTATTTGGTCAATGCATTGAGTTCCTCCATTTACGTCGATTTCAGACACAATCCCATGAATACTACTAATATAATAGTCATTGAGATTATTACAGAATAATTGGGGTTCGCTTATTATCTCATTGTTAGTATGATCTTTTTTATTTTTAGATAAAAGCAGTTTTAATGTTTCCCACATTTTTTTTTTAATTATTTTTAGAATTATCAATTTTATTTTCAAAGTGACTCTTTTTCTCTTCACGTATCACTTGTACAGAAAATATTACAGTTGAACGTAAGAAGGATCCATTGTTGCCTACTGATAGTCACCATCCTTGTTTAAATATATGCCTTGAGACAAAAAATATGGTTAAATATTGTAGACTTATAGAAACAACTAAATTTAATCATGATTGGTCAAGTTTCGCACTCTTTGCTGATGCAAATCATGCCCTAGGCTGTTTTTACAGTGAAATTTTCAAAATATTTGAGTTGTGGGTTCCTAAGTAAACACAGAAAAGGAAAAGTAGTATTCTGTTTGGTATAATCACGAACCAATTTCAATGTTGAAACAAAAAAATCACTCCTTACTTAAAGTCAAAAAAAAGTGGAACTCAGTTTTGGAGATTGCGGTATAGGAGTTTACGGTCATTACTCAAAATTAAAATTAAAATAGTGCATAATCAATATTTTGAAGATCTGAAAAATAGCTTTAAGACTGATCCTAAATACTTTTGGTCTTTTTTGAATAGCCTTAAGAATAGTCCGGACTTACTGGATAAAATGGCCCCCGACAACGATGTTTTCAGTGGTGATCAAAATTTTGCTAGTGGCTTTGCAACATATTTTAAATCAGTTTTTGTGAACAGTGATATTAATGGTACTCCAACTGAATTGAAAACCTTTTTTGGTGAAAAATCAATTTCTCAAAAGGACATTAATGTTGCTGTAATGAAACTGTAATGGTCCTGATGATGTTCCAGCTTTTTTTCTGAAGGGTTGCAAGGATCTTCTTTTTTATCCTCTGCAGGTGCTCTTTAATCTTATTTTAAAAACATCCACATATCCGGACAAGTGAAAAATTAGAAAGGTAATTCCTATCCACAAAAATGGCCCTAGGCAAAATATAAGAAATTATCGACCCATAACTATTGTCTGTGCTGTTTCCAAAATTTTTGAATGTGTACTTTTTGATATGCTCTTTGATGAGGTTGCTGGTAAAATTTCTATTAATCAGCATGGCTTCTTGCCCAAAAGGTCTACACTTAAAAATTTAATAGTCTTATAAAAAAATATCAAATAGACATAATTTATACTGACATGGAGAAAACATTTGACAAAATAAGCCACAGTTTAATAGTTAAAGCCTTATCTGATATGGATGTACCCAATTTTTTGATTAACTTGATTAAGTCTTACTTAGTAAAAAAGTACCAATATGTTGAGGTTAAGGGATGCAAATCTGAAACCTATATTAGTACCTCAGGAGTGCCTCAAGGCTCTAATTTAGGACCCCTTCTTTTCATACCTAATTGCAATAAATTAAATTGTTGGGAGTGTTGAAAATTCTTTAGCCTTATTATTTGCTGACGATTTCAAACGCGAAAGAGTGTGCAAAGTAATAAACTTTGCACATGTGAGTAGAAAAAATATTTTTTATTATTTGAGATATTTTTATGGACTAAAAGAAATAAAAGGTTGTTGCTCTGGGGGGGGGGGCAATTGCCCCCTTTGCCCCACCCCTGGATACGCCACTGCCATAATATGGTTTCAATATACTTAGTGTTTGGATTAACATTATCGAGGAGGAAAATTTTTAAAGGCTATGTACTATGTACTTCAGAACGTTTGGTACTTATCCCCAAAGAGGCTGCGACGAGGGCTGCGACAATGATTATCTTCTGGGCTTGTTTAACAGGCTCTCGTTAAGTAAGAGAAGGATTAAAATATTTTTATATTCGATTTTTATGTACAATGTACATACAGGGTTATTGGTTATAAATGTCACCCCCCTCTATCTTTTTTATTTGACATTTGAGAAAAAAGTGTCTCAAATAAAAAATGTATGGTTGAAATTAAATTTTTTGAAAAACTCACTTTTGCATATACAGGGTGTTTCAAAATAGCTGGTCGTGCTCCAACTTTCTTATTTTAAATTGAATACCCTGTATATTATTCAATATTCGGATTTGACATCAAATTCTGAGCAGATTTCATGTGATATACCCTATACCTAAGTTCAACTGTTTTGGAAATATTGACAGATGAAAATTTACTTTTTCGCAAATTTGACAGGCTGTAAAACCTAAACGGTTAACTTTTGAGCAAAACTGATCTTACATTTTTTTTTAAGATTTTCACAAGTTATCATTTGACACCAACTTTGAATTTAACCGAAGATTCAATTTAATTGAAATTTTCAATCAGGGATTAAATTCAAAGTAGATGTCAAATATTGGTGTCAACTGATAGTTTATAAAAATCTAAGATAAAAATGTAAGATTGGTTTAGCTCTAAAATTAACCGTTTAGGATTTACAGCCTGTCAAAGTTGCAAAAAAGTCAATTTTCAACTGTCAATATTTCCAAAACAGTTGAACTTAGGTATAGGGTATATCACATGAAATCTGCTCAGAATTTTACGTAGAATCCGAATATCCAATAATATAGAGGGTATTCTATTTGAAATAAGAAATTTGGAGCACGACCAGCTTTTCTGAAACACCCTGTATATGCGAAAGGGAGTTTTTCAAAAAATTTAATTTCAACCATAAAACTTTTATTTGAGACACTTTTTTCTATAATGTCAAATAAAAAAGATAGAGGGGGGTGGCATTTATACCCAATAACCCTGTACAGAATCCTCAAAGGTGATATTGACTGTCAAGATATTTTAAATCAATTACCATTTGCAATTAATCGCCTAAATTCGAGAAATACTAAAATGTTTTATCTTACATTTCCCAGAACAAACCTGTACAAAAGCTCGCCAGTCTATCAGTTATGTAACTAATTTAATTTATATGTATTGGATATTGATATTGACTGTATTATTAATATAAAAACTTTTAAAAAGCTTATAGACAATAAATTAAGGTCAAGCAGTTTAGGGCTTTAATTTTGAATAGGCGGAAGTTACTTCTTTTTGCCATCATAATTATTAACTTTATTCAAGACTATATCTATGTACGTACAATGTAAGTTTTTACTGGACTAATAAATAAATAAATCTTATTTGTTGATCATTTTTTAACAGTTTGTGTTAATAGTAATACAGCATCAATCATGATTTGCTTATTAAGAAGTTCATATATTTAAGTTTTTCTGAGAGATTGGCAAACTGGTTTTTTAGTTTCCTTAGGGATAGAGAGCTCATTGTTAAAATTGGTAATTTTTTATCAAAGGTTATTAGTCAGTTCTGGTGTGACCCAAGGAGGACACTGTTCATGTCTATCTATGGTTCTCCCTTATTGTTCATCCTGTTTGTCAATTACCTAAAAGAGCAACTGAATAACTGTGAATTCTTGAAGTTGGCAGATGACCTGGTTCCTTAAATTAGCACAACGAAAATAGCACACATCAGAAAAACTAGCGTACTAAATTCGGGCCTATTTAGTGCTAATTTAGTACGAAAAAAAATAATTTATAACTCTATTTTTTAAAAAATTACGTGCATGTGTGCAACTCTAGTTGGATAAGGTTGAATCTTTGAAAATCAAGTACCTCATATTTAGTGCTAATTTGATACATTCATGGCACGCCTAAAAACTAACAATGATGTATTTATTACGAAATAACCACGGAAAAGTGCTAACTTAAGACTTGAATTAGCACACATACATCGAATCGACCGCGCGAAAACGGAATTCGCATGCGCATATTTAGTGCTAATTTAGTACTTCAGAAACGACGACCTGAAACAAATTAGTATCACATCAGCATAGAGTTAGCACTTGTGTGCTGGCTTAGTGTTTAAGTTAACAAACATTATCACCGATGACGCGATGAAACTAGAGTACTAAATAAGCACACATTTAGTGCTAATTTTAGACGTTAGTTTGGGTTAGTTCGGGTTAGTTTCGGTTAGTTCGGGTTATTTTGGGTTATTTTGGGTTATTTTGGGTTAGTTTGGGTTAGCTCTGTGCTGATGTGATACTAGTTCATTTTAGGTCGTCGTTTTTGAAGCACTTAATTAGCACTAAATAATATGTGCATGAGAATTCCGTTCTCGCGCGGTTGATTCGTTGTATGTGTGCTAATTCAAGTCTTAAGTTAGCAGTTTTCAGTGCTTATTTCGTAATAAATACATCATTGTTAGTTTTTTAGGC